TTCATACATTTTCTCTAAGCTCTAACAATTCATAATGAATAATTCATTCATATTAAAATTTTATATGTATATATAAAGTTAGGAAGGTAAAAAGTACTTTGTAATATTTATTAAAATAACAATTTTTTTCGAAAATTATTATTAATAAACAAATTGTAAGACAAAAAGAATCACTTTTCAGATATATTCCAAAATGGATTTTTAACTATTTTTGCGTTTTATTATAAATACGCTATTAATAATGCTCGAATTATTTCTGCTTGAATAACAGCAAGGTTAGATTAGCGTAATATATTTACGTGATTGCAGTCATATTTTGCGTAAAACAAATAATATATTATTGGTACTTTGCTTAAATTACTCATAAAATTTCATGAAAGTTTGAAATAAATTGTTTTCCGATATAAAAGGTAATCATTTTAGGGATTATTAGTTGAAAACAAAGTAATATGAATTGGTTGTCACATTTATTTTAAATAATTCTATGCATTATCGAACACATTCACCTAGCACTTCTCAACAGCTATCAAGCAAGCCTTCATCATTATGCAATTTACAAAAAATCAGTGAGTTAAGGTATGTTACTTAATTTATTTTAATGTAAAATTACTGATTTTAGATCATGATCTGATCCCTAATAATTATTTGATTTATGAAGCAACTTCTCTTACAAGTTTATTTTTAAGATCTACAAAATCAATTTGTTTTTAGATCATGATCTGATCCTTAGTGATTATTTGACGTGTGAAGCAACTTCTCTCACAAGTTTAAATTTAAGATCCACAAAATCAAATTGTTTTTTAATGAAATATTACAGAAGCTTCCCGTGATCATATTCATTTACGTATTTTATTACTTATTTTTGATTTATTTGATAAGACTAATTTGTAAAATTTTGATAATTGGGAAAGTTTATTTTTTATTAATTCAAATTTTTTAATGCTCTTTGATAAAACAAATTTTAGGCGTCAGTTGTTTTTAATCTCAGTTTTTATTCTATTTGTTTGCTTTTTTTGAATTTATAGTTCGTTAGAGAAAGATTAATTTTCGAGACTTAAAAAATTTTTATTAATTTGTCTTATTCAGTATTTTAGTAGAATATAAAACTTTCAAGCAAGAAAATTTTATAAAATTTTTTCCATTTTCTATTTTTTTTATTTTTTGGCTCTTTTTTGAATTTTTAAAAATTGACATTAATTACTTATCAACTTGATTATACCATTCATTCTTCAGCTTGCTTTGACACAAGAAATTTTTATCTGAAAATATTTACTGAAATGATTTTTACTTTTGTTTTAATAAAATACTTTTTAATATTTTATTGATTTACTTTGTGGTTTTCACACTTTATTTTATTTTTTTCGAACTCTAAAAGCCAAAATGATTTATTTTTGCCCCAAAAATAGTCATATACGATAATCCATTAGCTTAAGTTGAAGATATTTGTGATTATTTCTGAACATCAGCGTTTAGAGACGTCTGTTTTATGTTGTAAGCATTTTCTTCAAAAAATCTCTCTAACAAAAATCATCATTGAATACTATAATAATAAGCATTTCTTTTTTGTTCAACTGAAAATATTTTTTTTGCAAAAAAAAATTATAAAAAAAGACGAAAATTCATTTTTTGCAAATTATATTTCTAATAAAAAATATTTTTTTATACTTTTTATATTTTTATAGTGTTTTTTTATACTTTGTAATTTTACCAATCATTTAGTTCTATAAGATTCATCTGATTAAGTACAAGCATAAACATTATTATTGTTAGCTTAATCCGAAATTAACATTCACGTAGTTTTCCATTCTCAATTTAATATCGCTATTGTAAAATATGTTAATTAGATTATTTTAGTTACATTTATGCAAATTTTTTAAACTTAGTTGACAAAAGAATATGGTTATTTGGCTTTTTTTCGCCAAAAGTATAACTTATTAAACTCACTAAAAGCCAAATTATACACCAAATGATAAAATTTAACGTACTTTCGACTTCCATTAAAAACTTTTCCAACAACTCAAGCAATTTCAATAGTTAAAAGTTAATGTTTCTATAGAAATAGAATATAAATACTAACTTTAAAGCAAATATTCAGCAAAAATGGAAACATTTTTGGATTACTTTGACTTTTCAGAAATTATTTCCATACTTTAAGACTTGCTAATTGCGTGAATATTTTTTCCAAACTTATCAAATAACTATTATTTATCACAAAGCGAATTTATTTTTTGTTTTTTCAAATTTTTTGACATTTTATGAAAATATTATTTTTTACCGAAAGCACGAAATTTGAACGAAAATATTTCGTTTAATTTTAGAAAGTTGAATTTAACAGCTTTTCTTAAATTTTTATACTTTTTATTACATGAAAAGTTTATAATTGTATCAGATATTATCAGTACTGTAAATTACTGTTAAATTTAGTGTAGTTTTTGTTGGTTGAAAGTAAATAATGCAAATAAAAAATTTGCATTTTTTACCGTATTCTAAGCAAGCTTTTCATTTAAAGCGTTATTCTTTTGCATATAAATTTCACTTTTTTGATATTATTTTATTTTTACAACAAATAAGAAACTCTCATATATTTTCTAAAATTATCACTGAAAAATTTTTCTTATCACAAAACTATTTCTGTTTTTTACTTGCCAAAAATGAAAGAACCAAAATTTCAAATCAAAAAATTTGGCAAATTTCTGTCGTTTATTAATTCTTAGAATCTGTGAAATAGTGCTTTCACTAAACTACGCATATCTCTTAACACGTTTTTACACGTTTTGATATGAAAGAAAAAGCTTTTGAATTATTAAAAAAATACCCTAAATTTAATAGTAACTAGCAAAATCTTGAAATTTTTTAAATATTTTCATGTTTCAGTCTCGTTTTTCGAAAGTCTAAATTGTGAGCTTTTACGTAAGTTAAATTATTCACGTAAAAAAAATAAAAAGTACATTATACTTTTTATTACCTTTCATTTTAGAGATTAAAATATGCCCAAAAAATCTTTTTATATTTATGAATACAGCTTATTTTTAAATGATCTATTATTTTTTGCTGACTTTAAATCCATTCGTAAAATCATAAAAGAAATTTTAAGGCCGCAAATTTTAGAATACGACGTAAAGCTAAAAATGCTGACTGAAACATTTTGCATTTTGCATTATTTTTTTATAGCAAACAGAATTTTCTCAATTTTCAGTTCAAAAATATGCTGTGATTTGTGAAAAAGTGATAATATTTATGCAATTACTTTTACTTTTTAGCAAATAAAAATAACAATTTTCAATTACAATAAAGTTTCGAAAAAAAAAACATTACAAACTTTGTATTCTTTTATTTAATTTTTATACAATTATCATAATTTTATATTTTAATGAATGACGTAACAAACTCAATATTAGTTATTTTCAATTAATTTGCATATTAAGTAATTTTTGGATTATTGTAATTACAATTTGTTGGAAATTTCGAATTAAATCACTTATCAGTATATTTTACCGAATAAAAACAATCAAAAATTCAAATTAATTGGAAATTACTTTATCATATATAGCACTTTAAAAGCGAGCTTCATTAAGTCTTAGTTTTTCTGCAATATTTCATAAATAATATAACAAATTTTAATAATACACATTGCTCTCAAATTTAATTTTAAATATTCACGAGTTAGTTAGTAACTTTAAACAGTATCCAAATAAGTGGAAGTACCAAATAATTTTAATTTATACTTTGTTACTTACAGTTTTGAATAAAAAATAAAGTGCTATATATGATAAAGAAACAACATCTGAATATTACTATAAGTTTAAAAGAATTATAAGTTAATTATTATTATTATTATCATTAAGTACAAGATTTGAATTTACTATTTGCGCCCCTTATTAAGTAATATTTGAGCAGTATTAAATATATGACTTACATGTACAATCTGTTTTTTGCGCATAATCATAATCTTTTTTAGTATTAAAAGTCCGCAACTTGAAACTTCAATTGAAAATTATCACATTTGTAAATAACAAATTATAAAGTAAAACTTTTTTACTTTCAAGTAATTCAGAAATACTATTCATCAAATTAAGTTTAATCCTCGCTAAAAAATAATAATTTTCTCAGAGAAATTTGACAAAAATTAGTTCAGTTAATGTATTTATCAAACTTAAATAATAATAAACAAAGAATCATGATTTTAAAACTCTTAAATTTTGAATTGTTTTAATTTAAACTATTAATTGGATATAGTTCTTTACAAGTAGATAGTTTGAAGACAACATTCATTTATTATTTATAGCAAAAATTTAAAGTAAACTTTTTTGCTTTACTTGAAAATCTAAATTTTCAAAATAATTGTTATGTTTCTTTCAACTTTGTCTGCATGAAAATTACTTTATTTGCTTGGAAAAGTTTTTTTTGGCATTTATTTCAGTAAAAGGTTCGAAATTAGCAGAATAATCTCGAGGGAGTCAATATTCAACGAGCTGTTTAAAAGAGAACTTAGCATTTTGCGCCTTAAATCCGTTATATTTTGATGTCATACTTCCTTCGTTCATCAACACATACATTAATCCTAAAAACGGCTTTAAAAATTAATCTTTCAAACTGTTTTGGTCGTTATATGATTATTATTACTTCAAGCTGAGCAATTTGGTCCACTCATTTACATGCTTAAAGTATATTAAATTATAGCTATTAATAATATCAATAACAATGATAATAATAATGATAATAATAATAATTATAATAAAGCCAAAAGTCATTTTGTAGAGATTTAATCCATTTTATTGCGCAAAAATTTTATTAAAAATAGCACTATTTCCGTGCTCGTTGACTTTTTTTAATTCAAAGCTATATTAAAATTTTAATTTATGAACTAAAATTAATATATTTGAGTACTTGTATACCATTTTTGCTTTATATGATAAAAATATTATCAGTTTTTTGCTTTTTTCATTTAAAAAAATATAAAATGTACAATCGTCGATGCATTTTTATAGGAATTTGAATTTATGGAATTGATATTGAGTATAATACAAGTAGTACCAAATACGATAATTATATGAAATGTTATTTAAATTTGGAGTTTGCTGGAGTAAACAACTTTTAAATTATGTACTCAAATATTTATGTTTGTAAAGTTTCACACTAAATCTCAGTTGTATCTTATCTTTGTGAAGATCCACGTGTACTGAGTGCGTGAATAAAATTAAAACTACGAATTAAGAAGAGATTTACTTTAAATTGGTTTTCTACTCAATCAATCATAACTAATATAAGATCAAAATACTTTTTCATTCTACAAAACGAAAAAATTTGAAATTAATTTTAAAAATTCAAATATATTAAATTATAGCTAAAAAAGTTGCGAGTGTCAACCTCTTCTATCATCTATTCAAAATGAAAAATATAATATATTTTTATTTGATAATTGAAAATATTTGTATTTTTGTTAATTAATTGAAAAAAGTCTCAACCCAAAAGATTCTAAATGCCATTTTCTCTTATAAAAAATTGCTTTATTATTTGTATTAATAGGTTTATTCATCGGATTAAATCTCAAATTTCTAACTTGGTAACTTTTTAAATTACTTGAAAAAATAATTATAGAAAACTGTTGCACATATTTACAGCGCGGATCATTTGAATTATCATATAGATTATCCGGAAGGTGCAGGTATATTGGAACAGATTGAAGAAGAACCTAAGACTGATTTTCATGCCAAAACACGACGAGATCAAATAAAACGGGTTCAATTAATTATTTTTATTTTTTATTTTATTTCCGATAATTTTCTCATAAATTAAGTTAATTAATTTTTTTATTTGGTACCAAACAAAACCAAAATAATAATAATATTAATAATCTGTAATTTATTTTTATTTATAGAAATAATTTTTGTCTTTTGAATTTGATGAAAATAAAATTATCATAAAGTATTTTAGAAATTACGAATAGTATTACCCCACATTGGTCTTGTATTACTTTCAACAGCATATACAATTCTTGGTGCTGCCATATTCCACCATGTTGGTTCCATCCTCCAATTCAATCCAATACAATGTTATTACCATTCTTAAGTTAGAAATCGAAATATTTCATTGTTTTTGATTAAATATTAATCAAATTAATGAAAGACAAAAATTAATGAATTATTAATATTTAAAAATTATTTTTATTATTAATCAATAATATTTTTGATATAAAAATTGAATTAAATCTTAATTTGTTTTAAAGTTTGAAATGCCATATGAAGTGCGTATTCGTAATGAAACTGCTCATCGAATTAATGCTCTGAAGCAAGAAATTGTTGATCAACTATGGATGCTCGCACATGATGGAAATAGTACTGGCAAGATAACATTCGAGAATTGGGCTAAAACGGCACATCTCGGGTTTGTTTTCAGAAAAATTAATCAATAATTTATGTTAAAATGTGATTTTAGCGCAGTGTATTGATTTATTGTAAAATATATTGCAAAAAAACAAGAAAATTCTTTACAAAAAGTAATAATTACTTTAACATTAAAAATTTTTACCAATTAAATAACATAAAAATTTTAAAAATGCAATAAATCTTGTCAAAGAATTTATATTTTTTCGAATGAAATTTCAAATAATTTAAATTAAAATTTTTGATTAGTGACATTTAAAATAAAAAAATGACGAAAATATGCAAATATTTTTAAATGTTTTAATTGTCATTTTCAGCAAACTGCAAATTGAATCAATGCTGAAAACTGAATTATAGAAATTAATCCAAACAAAAAAATAAATACTTGCAAGATTTTGTATTTAATTAATAATCAATTCATTCACATATGTTAATATTATAAGTTTGAATCATACAAAACAATTTAATTCAAATTTAAAAAATGAGTTTTTAACGCTTATAATTAAGATTAATTACAGTATGAATACTGTAATACGTGATGTATTTATTGATTACACGAAGAATTATATGACGCCAGATGACATAATCAAAGGTATGGGACCAGTAAAATGGTCATTTAGTTCCAGTATATTTTTTTCATGGACTGCCATCACCACCATTGGTACATATTTGGATATTCATTATTATCATTTTTATTATGATTTTTATTACCATTATTATCATCATTATTGTTCTAAATCTTAGTATCATTCCTTTGTTTTGCTAATATTGTTTATAGCTTTTGTTAGCTGTAATTATTATTAACACAGTTTATTTTACTTTTTGTAATTATCAAATATACTTTTAAGTATTTTCAATTACTTCATATCAAATCAGAGTAATAAGAAAAAAAAGGCTAAAGGTGATAGTTTCAATCATTACTGTAGTCTCTGAATGAAATTTTGATAGGTTAAAAAAATTTGTTAATTCGTAAACTTTAAATTTTTTGAATTTTAAATTATTCAGAGATTTCAAACCTATGTGATATTGCAATTTCAAATTTGTTTTATTCACAGAAATTATGAATTTTTAAAAAATTACAAATAAATTAATCAATTGGCTTCAAAATTATTTGAAAATATTCGGATATCCTTTTAAAATTTTATGCAATATAATGCTTAATTAAATGCATAATTTAGCAAATTGTTGGTAGAGATATAAATTAATCCCAAAATATTTTTAGTCAAAAATTATTTTTAGACTATGAGCTTACTGTTGGAATATTTTTAAAAAGTTAAGATTAACTACTGAAATTAATAACTATTTTAGCTTTTAAGCTCACGCATTATTTTATTACAAAAATTCAAATATTGAGAGGGAAGTCGAGATTGAATTTAATTCAGGCTATGGTCATATCGTACCGCGGACTAGTGAAGGTCGAATAGCATGTCTAATGTATGCATTATTAGGTATTCCATTAATACTGGTCACTATTGCTGATATGAGCCGATTTCTTTCAGGTATTTTTTATAAAAATAATTGTAAGTTAGTGCAAGCATGTCAAAATTGTGTGAATTACTTTAAATTATTTGTTAACATTCAAAAGAAATAATCTTAATCTTTCAAAAATAATTCTGCATTCAAAAAATTGAAATACTTTAATTTAGTGCTATTTAATATTTTTAAACTAGCCAAAAAAATAATCGTGAGACTTAAATTCTTAACTTTAAGATTTTTAGATTTGAGTGAATTATCTTTCACTTATCATTAATTGGCTTTATTAGCTATGAATTTCAGCAATGAATCATTTTTTGTATTAAAAGATATTATTATTATTATTATCATCATTGTTATTATTATTATTATTATTGTTATTATTATAATAATTATAATAATAATAATAATTATTATTATTGTTATTCAACTTTTAGCTGGAATAATAAAAACTCATTATATTCTGAGGTTGATTCGTCTGCAAATGTGCCAAAAATGTACTCAATTCTGCATTCTTTGTTGCAAGTATTTTTTATTTTTATTCAATTTTTTTCAGTTTTTAGCATAATACAAATTTGTGCTATCATTTTTTGCAATTTTTGCAATTTAAAAAGTGATAATAACTTAAATTAATAATAATTAAATTGAAATATTTTATGATTCTTATGATTAATGATTGAGTTATCTCTATTAATTGTGCTAAAGAAAACATAATAAGTGAATGTGAATCCTTACTTCTAATAGATTTCATATTTTTTTCTGAGGAATTTATGGTTTCAGAAGAAAAAATTCAAAACCAAAAGCTGTCGCTGCTAATGATATTATTGGTGCTGGTAAAAAGTTACGACGGTGTAAACGGAATCATATTGATACAGTTTCAGAAGCCGGCACATTTGAAGGTACTAGTTTTTGCATATTCTATCATCTAAACATACGAAATATAAATTTGAAAAACTTTATAACTTAATGACAATTTTTTCAGCGAATATTATTCTAAATTTGGATTACTTACATGAGTATATTATTTCCATTTGACTTCATGTTTTGAAAATAAGATTTGAAAATGAATTTTTTTATGAAATTTCCACAAAAGTTTTTTAAAATTAATAATTATTCAATTTATTTTAAAGAAATATTTCAGTTTATTACTGTAAGATTATTATTTAACTTTTTACTTTGAATAACTTACTAATCCATCTTATTCCTTCCATATCGTACTGTATAATGCATTTGATCGAAGATATTGTAGATATATCAGATATTCATACGCAAGAAAGTGATAAAACACTTTCGGAAGATACTTGCGCACGAGCGGATGAATTAGACGAGTACGAACTTCATAGAGAGAGACGTGTTTCAGTCTTGTTTGTGCTCGTCATAATGATTGGTTTGTTAAAACAAACACAATTAATACTTTTTAATTTTCTTCTCAAGACTTTGCTAAATACAAAATTCTGTGAATTTTATAATTTAATTAGGAAATTTTAATAGGTTATACTGCTGGTGGTGCATGCCTTATGCAATTCTGGGAAAATTGGACTTTTATGGAGTCGTTTTATTTCTGCTTCGTTACTGTAACAACGATTGGTTCGTTTCGCACAGTAATTATGATAATTGTTATTCTTAAGTTAATTTCCAGTATCTTTTGAATAAATACGTGATAATTAAGTTGCTACCGGATAGTCAGTGTTACATGGAGTATACGTCCTTTTAAGCGTGCAACACTTTTAACTTATAAAAAAGAACAATAAAAACGTATTAAAATTGTGAGATACAATTACTATGTAAAAATAATTGTAAAACGTGAAGTAACACGTAAAATAATTAAATAGCTTAAAGTTGAGAGTAGATGAAGTCTAGAAATAATATTTTATAGGTTTTGGAGATATTGTACCTCAAAATGGAGAATTTTTGCCAGCAACGCTCATGTATATTATTATTGGCCTTATTATCACAACAATGTGCATTGGTTTGCATTTTGCTATACTTTTATTTAAGTATAAATTCTTCAAAACAATAAGTAGACTAAAAATTGCAAAGTATTGCAGATTTGGTAGGCAGTGAGTATATACGTGATATTCATTTTTATGGACGAAGTTTGGGACGAAGTTTTATGACAATTGGCGGTAAGGTCGTGCATCTTGGAGAGGTCAATTTAACTTTTTATTTTTAACTTTGTACCAAGTAAAGAGCAGGTATTAATATCATTAAAGTACTGTAGACAAAAAAGTATTATTGGTTAATATTTTATCAGTTTATTTATTTTGTCATTTACTTTTTTTTTTGAACAAAAAAACTTACAAAATTTTACTTTATGATATTTTTTCTAATATTAAATAACACAATTTTTTAGAATGCGCAAAAATTATTTTTATTTTGATAAACTTTCCTAAAAAAATAACTCATACATAAGTAATGAATCAATTTGCTTTTGTACAACTACAAAATTAGCAATATTAGTCATATTTGAAACCAATTTTTTAATAATACTTTACATTATTCTAAATAAATCTATTTTTTATAATTTACTAAATTTTTTACATAATTTGCGAAAAAATTACCTGGTGTAATTTTTGAGATTTACGAACTTTTGTAAGAAGAAATTTGAAATTTGATTTGAATTGCAGAAAAGATTTGAAATTTGATTTGAATTGCAGGAAAGATTTGAAATTTGATTTGAATGTTTGTTTAATAAAACTTTATAAATTATTCAGGTTTTTGGTTATGTAGCATTTCTTCAAAAAAATTACGGTCTTTCACCAGATCAAATTAATAAGTTAGCTCAATTACCAGAAGAATATTTATTGCAATGTTTGATCAATGGAAAACAGCCTGATCTAAGTTGGATCGGTAAATTATTTTAAAGCTTAAACAAAAATTTTACTGATTTCTAAGCAAAGCCTTTAATAATAATATTTTTTTGTGTATATTCAAAATTCAAAAATTTTGTGATTATTTTGAATTTATTTAAATTAATGTGATCTATGACAGTAAGAGAGTTAGTACTCCAAATTTTATTTGCATTTGCAATTTTTGTTTTTATTATCATGAACTTTGTACATGAATATGCAATTCTGAATCTTGATTTTTGCTTTAAATTATATAAATGAAAAATTTTATCATGTTATCATATCTCATGATTATTAGCTAACTAAAATATCTTTAGGTAGTCGTCCTTATGTGCCACCAGATATCTATTACTTTAAATGGATTGAACATCCACGTACACTTTCTTTCGTATCTGAAAGAGTATTAGCAAGCATGGAATCACTGGATCTGAATACTAGTAAATGTAGTACAGGTAGAATTTTGACACCGCGGGAATATTATCAAAGAATTTTGTTACAATACTGCCGCCAGATGCAACCTGAAAATCAACGTCAATACTATGAACGTCAAAAAGATGTTGAGCATACGCGAGTATGATAAGATTTACTAATGATTACTTTGTTATGATAGTGACAATTATTAGTTAGGCTGATCTTGTTGAACGAGTTGAAAATAAATTAAATTAAAAATATTCCAGCACATTTTATTAAAATTTTATTTGACAAAATTTGCCATACTTATAAATTTTTAATTGCTAAAATTTAATACAATAAATAACTTTATTAAAATTGCATAAAGGATACAAAAATAGATTTATGCAAATATTTGTAGTAAATGAAAAAAATCTTTAAGCAATGACAGACTGAAGTTTAAGTTTTGAGTTTTCTCAGGCTTAGATTTGAAGTCTGTGCTTTATTATCAAGAACATTTGCTTAATTAATATTCAAAGAATTTTTAAGCTTTAATCGCATTTAACTTCCTTAACTTACAGTAATTGCGCGAAAACTTTGAATATTTTAAAGTTAGCTGGACATATTCACAAAGTAAGTAACTATAACTTACATCTTGCATATTTTCAAATTTTGATATGATTACAAACATGGTAAGCGCAATAATAGCAGAAGGTATAAATGCAGATTCCAGGAATATTATGTTTCTTTTAAGTGTTATTTTTGATAACTTGAAGCCAAGTACTGAATTTTTGTAATTTTAGTAACTGTAAAGGTAGCTTCAATCATTAATCCCAATTATACCTTAATATCAATTATACCTTAAGACGTTTATTTTTATATAATATAATATATATACAGTTTATAAACGATAATGTTAGTTGATCTACAGTTTTTATCTGTTTTTTCAAAACCCCCTTGTGAATCTCTTACTTCCATAGCAGACAAAAATATATTTCTTTAAATTATGATAACTTACTTATCTGTGATATATTTGTTTGCTATTAATTATGCAATTAATAAATTTTAATCATTTTTATTGCTGCCATTAATTAGTATTTGCCTCATTTTAATTTAAGAAAGTTGTTAAAATATCTATCTGCTATTATCGTATTATCAATTTCAATATGTAATCAGTCTTTGAAAAAACTAATTTGCATATGAATTTAATGACTAATTAATATTTATAACTTTTTGTATATCTTTTGCAAAATATAGAAAATTTTTTCAGATTAAAATTTTGTTTCAGAAAACTTTTGCATCAATTTTTAAGTAACTACAATTAATTTATTATTAGTATGATAATATTCTGATTGCGATTTATACTTTTGTTTCATCTATTACCACAACTCTATGACTTTAATTTAACCTATAACATCCTGATTACCTTTTTTTTAAAATCCATTACGAAAACTTTGCATATTACATTTTCCATTACTTACTTGTTTTTGTTTCCATTCATCAAAATTCTGTTGTGCTATTAAACATCAAGTTTTAGCCTTATCGCGCAGCTGCTCAAATCATGAAGGATTAAGACGATAAGTTATGGTAGAGTGGTTTTCATATTAAATATAACAACTTTTCTTTCGGTAAAGGTTTGAATATAAATAAGATTATTAGGGATTATAAGTATATTCAGTATTACCTGAAATTGAATTAATTAATAAAAAACAGTACAAAAAAAAATGCAAATTTTCGATTTTATAAATAAAAGATACAAATGAAAGAAAGAATATTAATGACAAATATAATAACATTCACAATGGTAGTGAAGAGAACAAGGACACAATAAAATAACAAAATAATAAAATTGTACTAATTAATTGTAAATACTACAAAAAATTTTCATTTTTTCATATTTCAGAACTGTAATAATTCTGTGAACAATCCATTTAAATTTAATTATAAAATTTTTACTCTAAATACTTATTTTTTTAATTTGTGAATCTTATGATTATTTTTACATATCAATAAAAAATTGTAAATGGATAAGACATTGAAAACGACTGATTCAATTAATTTATTAAAATTTCAATGAGCACTTTGAAACAATTTACAAATAATTTTCATGAGTAATTTCATACAACCTAAAATTTTACTCGAATACATCTACAAATGAGATATGATATTTTTATCTATTTTTTAAAATAATTTTTTGTAACGTAATATGATCGTTAAATAACATCATCGTATTCATTAAAAAATCAACACATAATTTTAATAATATAATAATTGAATTGTAAACAACTTTGCAACATGGAATAATTTATAAATAGAATTAAAAGGACTTGTGAATATTTACAAAGAATAAAATGTGTAAGAGCTTAACAGCTTAATTAGCGATATTGTTTTGTTACATACTACAGCGATACATTTGGTACCATTTCAAAGTACTTCTGTAATTTTTGCAATTCAAGTTTTGTCAATTCGTGTGCTCGTCGTTCCTGCAAAAAGCAATAAATTTTGAAAAGTATTAATTTTAATCTGTACAAAACTAGCATTTTTTTCAGTTAGTGCTTTCGAATTTGTTCATTCATATTTTGTCATTTGAAATTTGTAAAAAGTAATATTTAATTTTCAAAAAGTATTTATTACTTATAAACAAAATAAATTACTTTGGTAAGTTCTTCTTTCAAACGTGAAATCATAGCCTGCAAAGCTTGCTTTTCTCGAAGTGTGCTTTGCAACTGAATTTGACACTTTTCCAGTTCAGTACTTTTTTCTGCTAACATTTTTTCCGAAATATGCATATCGTTTGACGAATTAATAATACGACGACAAATTCTGTTTCCAGATTGCTGAAATTACGAATAAATGCATCAAAAATTTATCCCAATTCCAAACTTTAAAAAAAAAAGTGTTTAATTTTAAAATGATAAATATAAATTGTAGTGAGCCATCTTTCATGGCAAATAAATAGAATAAAGTAAAAAACTTAAGTTAATAATTTCTAATAAGATTGTTGTATTTTAATTAATAGCCAATAACAATGTCATTTTTTGGTTCAAAAATTATTCATTATTATTTAAAAATCATTTTCATAAAAATAAATGATATTTATTATTTACATGCCGTTTTATCAAGTTAATGAATTTTGACAAAAACTTTATGATAATTACGTTGGAAGAATCGTAGGGATTTTCTGAGAATGACTTCAGTGATTCTTCGGAACAAACACGCAGTAATCGGCTCTGAAAAAATACAAGTTACGTAAATCTTGATTCCATGTAAAAATTGATGTTTAATTCTAAGAAATTACTGACCATTTTAAAGTTATGAGATAAAACGTGTAAAATTCTATTCGTTTAATTTGATAAATTACCAAGAAAATCATGTCAATAAAGAAAGTCAAAGGTTTTTGTAAAGACTTTTACAAAGAATTTATTAATGACTAAATTAAAAGTGATTGCATTACTGCATATTTTCAAAATGTTTATAGGAAAAATTTTAGTAGACAGTACTTGTTTCTTTTGTATGGTTCCATAAAAGCAATCCTTCATAGATTTCCAATTAGCAGATTCATGAAGTGACGGGTGAACTGACGTGCTATACGTAAATTTCATAAAATTGAACAGAAAATATCAGAAAAGATCTTTTTAATTTCAAGGAAAAATCGCAAAAAATAAAATAATCCTGTGATAGCTCGAGTAATTATCCACTTTTTTCACTCACTTATTCTACGAAAATCAAATTTAAACTGAAAGTTTTTGATAAACTTTGTAGTAAGATGAGGAAATCTTTGGTAGTTGATTTTGGTCTTTAAGATTTGCAAATTTTTACAAACTTACTTCCAATCTGTGGTGCTTAAGTTTTTTGGACTAGTATATTTCGTCCCCTGAAAATTAATAAAAAACCTTCAACGCAAAAATTTGAATATTTTCTCAAGAAGACTCTACACATCAATACCTATACAGAAATGATCTACATGTTTGGTAGATTTAAAAAGTTTGATATTTCGGCTACTAATCAATAAACTTGCTTTTAATTGGTTAAAAAATGCCACACAGATTGTTACTTAAAATATGCATCAAACTCTGAGGTAGGTGTGAATAAATTATTAATCGATATTTTCCTTAACGATAACTTATATCATTTATAATACTCATTGAAATGCAAATGCAAATTTAGTAAACTGTCATATATAATAAGCCTGAATTACACTCCATCATTGCTTTCAATATTTGAATAATTAGATTAATTAATTTTAATAACGAGAATCATTAATAAATGCTTACAGTAGGACTAGTGTTCATCACGAGATCTTCCTCGAAACTGTCTGGTTGCATTTTGACTTTCTCTGAATAATTTACTGCTCGAGAACGATCATCCTTGAAGATATCTTCATAACTGCAAAGATATATTCATCAAAATAAAGTTCAATTTCATCTTCAAGAAATGATTTTATGTTTTCTGCCTAAAAATAATAATAAAATGTGAAATTAAATATTTGAAATATGCTTTAAAAGTGAAAAAATTAGTACATTATATGAGTATAAGTTATAAAGTGATATTAAGTGATATAGATAACCGCCAATTTTTTATTCAGTGATTAAGCAAAACATTGCGATTTAGCGATAAGGAAGAGACGTAAAATTGATTCAGTGATTAAACCTGTCAGCACAACATTAAAAACATTACTTCACTTTTCGTTTTGCGAAGGATTCTGGTGTCAGCAATAAACGATCATCCCCACTGACCGCAGGGCAATGCGGATCAGCACAACCTCGACGAGGTGACCCATCAGATGAAGGTGAAATCATAACCAATCGCAATGAGGTTTGTTTGGCCATTAAATCGCAAATTTCCTTATGATTTAAAGTAACAATCGGTCTGCCTTCAATCTAAATATTTCGTTAGACAATTTTAGCAAACTTTTCAGATATAAAATCAGCAAGTTATAAAAAGTGAACTTTGAGGTTTGAAACATGTAAACTTGTTTTATTGATTTACAAGTTTATTACTAGAAAAATTATTGTCTAATTTTTAAACATAAAAATTTGAGTTTTAGCTTGATTTGAATAATTATTGAACCTCAACAATACGAGAGCCCTGCCTAAGACCACAACGCCACGCGTTACGATACATTTCCACGTCTGTTACAACACCTTCTTCTTGCACGTGGAAACCTAAAGCATCTGAAATCCTAGCACGTCGATATACCACTTCCTTAGCTTCATCCCCTGCAATCATTTAATTTTTTAATCTTTTAAGCCTTTTTGAAAATATTACTTTCATGATTTCTTTTAATGTGTTATCATAATTAGACTTTATATATTTAAAATAGTTATTACTATTCTCTTACCATTTCTGGTATAAACAAATCAAATAAATGAGCAAAATACAAAAAATAATAGAATAAATGTGGGCAAATTCATCGGATACTACCTTTAGTAACATATTCTAATCGTCGAATCAAATCTGTTAATTCTCGATCGCTGTTATCATTTGAACAGCATCTTAGTAGTAGCATATCTCCGTGATCGTAATAAATTTTGAATCTGAAAATAAAGATACAAATTAAGTTTGCTTAAAGATAGTATAAAATTTCAGTAAAAAACATTCATTCTCATAAAAAAACGTAAAATATTCATTATTTCAGCAATATTTTTACCTTTATTATATCACAATAAATTTTTAAAATTATATAATTTATTGTGATCAAAAATAAAAATATTTAATGTGTGTAAGTTTATAAAAAATAACAAATTTATAATAATTTACCCTAAATCCATACTAGCCCAGCCAATGATAGAATGCGTTGGTGTTGCAAAAATAACTCTTCCTGATGGCATTTCTAATATCACTAAAGCTTCATTTGAAACTCCGAGAACACATGTAATTCGTTGATTTTGAGAATGATCATGAACTTCAACAAGCCAAGAAAGTGCTCCACGTAATGATTCATTTAGCATTGGACGTGGAAATAATCGTTCTTTACGCTTTACCGATCCACCCAAAAATCGGCCTAAAATGATAATTGAATAAAAGGAGTTTTAAAAAAATGTTTCCACAGGACAAAGCTTAATATTTTACGAAATTTAAGTTTGAATTAAATTAGCATCAAAATAAAATTATTCAATTTCACAACTTGTTACTCACGCATACAGAAATGTGCATGCGTGAGTATGCTTTTATGTGTATGCACGGTGAATGTGTACACGTATTAAAATACGTACTAGCAATTTTTGACGCTCCTTCATTGGGATGAGCTGAAACGAAATTCTCTGCAATTTCTTTCAGAGCTTCTCGACGAGTACGTGCTGCCATCGCAGCGAATTTTTTCGAACGATGTACAGCATTCTCAGCATTTATAACTGGCAAAAAAAATAAGATAAAATACTGACTATTTCAAAAATTTATAATTATAAGTGCTGATAATATTTAAATAAAATTAATAAATTTGCTGTTACTCTCTGTATAATTGCCACTATAAATTATATCAGTTCATATACTATCAGAAGTTAAACAAACTATCAATTAAAATTAATTACTACAAACTTGCAGATATATAAAAATAATAAACAGAATTAGAATCTACTTTTGGTGATCAAAAAATCATGAAATTCTGAAGACTTTGGAAAAGTTGCTCCACGAGGTAGAGCAGGTCCAAATGCAGGCACATCCTTGGCTCGTGATACAGCAACACTATAAGTTAAACCAAATTTGATTAATTTAAAATTAATTCAGGATCATTTATCCACTTACATATCCTTCTTGCAATCATAGTGTGAATTAATGCTTTCAATAACATTACAAAATCGAGATTTGTTGTACACGTTTTATACGTCAATTAATTGAATACATTTGACATCTACGTCAATAATGTTAGTAATGAAGAAATTTCTATTACTCATTGTTTTTGTTTTTTATAATAAGCAAAAATATACCTGTATGTTACATCGTCCGTACATGGATTATTGGCCTGTACAATAATAAAAACATGTTGAAAATGTGAACGAACAGTTATTGGACTAAATGGCAGAGCACCTGGCTCTTGAAAGATTACTGTTACCATATCATTGCCAATATGTCGTTTCCGAGCCAACTTAAATAAAATAAACATTTAAGGCTTTCACTTTATATTAATTTTTATTATTTACTACTGAATTTGTATTTCAATATAGCTAATACAACGAAGCTCAGCATAAAATCAAAAAGCTCGTAAATATTTATCTAATAAGCGTAAAAAGTATAACAAAATACAAATACACCTGTTGCTTATTACTAGGAGTAAATGGAAGAAGAGTGGAAACATGAAACATAATTTCATGAGCTTGATACTCAGCGTAAATAGAATGTGTACCCGTTGTATCACCACGTACGTCAAGACCACCTTTATATTGATCAAAACCTTTTAATCTTACACGTTGTCCAAGAAAATCTAAGAACTCTTCGAAAGCAGGTGACCCTTTTTCTACAAATGACAAAAATATGTTCAAAACTTGATATTATAAATTTGTACAATAAATGATATCAATAATTGATCATTAATTTGTATGCACAAATATTGTTTGTTAAAACAAATTTCTGAAGAAATATCTCAAAAATATTTCGAGAATAATTATCGACGTTCTTAATTATTTATCTGTGTATTCAATTCGAAATTTATTAATGAAAACTTTTAATAATAAAAATGATTAAAACAAAATTAAAATTACGAAAATTCATTTGCATATCAAAGTTATTAAAAATAATAACCATTTACCATTGTTGTACATTTGCTCTTCAGTTGACTGAGAAACGCCACAATACATTACACCAACTTTATATCTCGTATAAATAGGCTATAATTAAGTGGTCTCAATCGAATCAAGTGATCTCAATCAAATTAAAAAAAGCTTTAAATACAAAATGGAAACTAAAATATTTACAGAACATATATTTATCACATTACTAATATGCCAAAAAGGCAAGTTCCTCCATAATTTCTACTAACTTATTTCACTAACACATAAATTGATATCTATCTACCTGTTCATCAATTTTGACGAGAATATCTTCTAGTCGAGTAGATGATGATGGATTCATTGCTCGAAGTATACCAGCGTTAATCTGTGGACATGCAATTTCCATTAATTCTTTCAACAACGATCGAATACTTTTTTGATCAATATTACTATCCGAAATTACATCTTCTGGTATAGCAAGTCGTAATGTACAAAGCTGAATTAATCAAATTTTTGTTTCAATTTTTAAGAATTATTTTTAGCTTTCTGATTTTATAAAATACAAATTTATTTTACACAAAATCATGAAGTAAAAAATAAATATCTGAATAACTATTTAATAAAAAAACAAAAAATACATCACTGATTCGAATAATCATTCGATAAATTGTAGTATCTTGAACAGCATTATTTGTTTTTTGTTCAATGTGTTCACGAGCTAAAGAAATAGCAACTGGTCCAAATGTTTCATCGGTTCCGAAGAAATTCCAATGAGCTGAAATTCCAGCATAATTCTTCACAATATGACCAAATTATGATAAAATAAGTCAACATAACAGTATATATCAAATTTTACAAAAAGTAACAGTATAATAACAATAAAAAGCAACAATAAGTAACAGTATATATCAAATTTTACAAAAAACAGATAAAGGATATTGAATTTAAGGCAATTTCAAATAACTTATTCCTTGATATATACTATTTTCAGTTATTTAGTAATGATTATAACATTCTTTGATAAAAATTACAACAGTACTAAGAACAACAAATCTGTACTTCACGAATTATACTCATCATTAAAATTTTAAGTATAATGATAATTCAAAATCCATTATCGTCTAGTTTATTTTTATAATCTTCTAATCACAAATATTTTAAAAATAGCAATAACAAAACGTACGTCGTCCAACGAAACAGTGTCGATAATAATAAGCTCCAATATCTTGCGGTTCAATTACAATTTTTTGCTGGCGCGCTGCGCATAATCTAAAAATAGGAAATAAAATACAATGTTTTTATTTTTTAATTTTGTACAAAAATTTCAAAATTAGTACTTTTATTCTGAAAAAAAGAAACTCAATGGAAAATTTTATAATGATCGCAACAAAATTTGTTTTCCAATTAAATTAGTATATTCTGTCTTAATAAATAATGAGTAATCTAATTTTTGATTTTACGAAAAATTTAAATATATCAAATTTTAATTTCAAAATTAGAAGTTTTCAAAAATACTTTAAGATTAAAGCGATCTTACCTGCCTCCTAGATACACATTGCTAACATCTTCGAGAATCTCGATTTCTGATGCTGTATGTTCTCGTTGCCAACCATCATCAGTTTCTTTCTTTGCGTACTCTTTTGAAGAAGTCAAACGACGTGAAAGTGATAAATGACGAGTTGGCTCACCACCAAGTTCATTTCTAAACATAGCACTGATCTTTGCTAACAACAAATTCATCCGATTTTTTTTTGCTATAAATCAATGATACTAACTAATTTTTGTCTTAATTAATTGGAGTAAGAAATTTTTCTACAAATTAATGAAAGATTTACTGCTTACAATTTAATTTATTTATTTTGAAAGTAAAATAAATCAACAAAGGTAATGATAAATTATTGTCATAAAATGATTTTAGAATTAATTTTAGAAAAATGTTACCGAAAAGCGGGACAGGTGGCTAAAAGATTATTAGATTTGCCGTCACCTAGGTCATCTTCACATGGGCTCTGAGCTTGAGATGCCCCAGTTGGACGAGGTTCGAGAGATGTTGTTGGTGGGCCAAGACCCCATGCTCCTGCCAAGCTTACGCAGTCATGATAAGCGCAGAGACGTGGATGACATGGATGCCACTCACTAAATTTTATAACTTGTTACATGGTATTATTTATTATTTTCTTATACTTCCTACAACAAACTTCTAACAGAAAAAATAAAAATATAATTACGTGTTTTGTGTACATACATTTATAAAAGTATCACTGGTATTTTATCGTAAAAATAAGTATTGTGTAAGCTAAATATTGAATGATGCCATAATAATATAACATTACCTAACACGCTCTGAAGTAATAAGTGAACTGTACTCAGAATCATACGCATTTCCATGACTGTCGAACTGAGATGTAACTGAAGACGTGCTACTTTGAACTGGACCTGAAGAAGATACTGTTGATGCCGTTGCAAGGTTATGCACTGAACCTAAAATGATTTGTAAAAAAAGTATAAGCTTTGTCAAAATTATGATTTACCTTCCAGTAAATAGTAAAAATAAAAATTATTAATTACCAATTTACTATAGAAAAATTATGAGACTAATTTATAAAATCATGTGATCACTGAATATCACATCAAAAGTTATCAAAAGTTGCACTACGTTGAGTAAATATCATCAGATTCTTGAATTCTATTTTGAGTAAATATTATCAGATTCTTAAAAGATATCTTAGTCATACAGACATCAGATTGTATTTTAAAAATACTTTTATATGGAAAGCAGAAATTAATTGAAATACAATTTTTGACTGTCAGTACTGTGATGTTATCTATTATCGTAATGATATATTATAAGATCCAAAAAAATTTTTTTTGAGCGCGCGCTTACTAACAATAATTTATATTAAAACTAAGTAAAATACTGAATGAATGAAGAGGAGTAAAATTAGAGTAATAAAAGTAAGTTTCGGTAAAGAAAAAAATGCTTGTGTTTTGGAGATACAAATTTTTATTATTAATTTTAAAAAAATGAAACGAAATTTGGAAATAATAATAATAATAACAATAATAATAATAATAATAATTTATAATAAATATATTACTTGAAAAGAATTCGATTATATCTCTTTTTCATTAAAAAAAGACTGAATAGCATTTTTGCATTTAAGAATATAACAGCACATAGACTAAAAGGATCAAACAACGTTCTCGTTAACACTTTCATGAGAATTAAAAATTACAGTAAATCAGAATTGGAATACTTGAATAAATAGATGGATCATTTTGTGAATTTGAATGATTTTATAAGTTTTTCTATTTTAAAGATTGAACTAACTTACAAGAAGTCATCGCAAAGTTGGCACTGCTAACAGTAATACTACTAGAATTTTGATGATGTAGAGACGATGCATTACTTTTTGATGCACTGTGATACAGTGGTGAGAGAGTGGAAGATTCGTTGTTAACACCTAAAAATGTGTTATTTCTGATTTTCAAATTTCATATTTCGATTTCATATTTAACCAACTAATCGTACTTATAAAATTTTTTGTTACTAAAAAACTCATAAATAGACATAATGCAAAAAATTAAGAGTTTAAAACGTAAAATTAGTTTCATTTTGTTTGCCTTTCATTACTTACCTTAAATCTCACTCTGTTAATAGATATCATCCATTCAAGCTAATCTTAGCCTATGATTTTATCCCCCATAAGTACGTAGTGACCTCTCGTATGCAGTAACAACATCAGCATAAAACATTTTCAGTAGTTAAAAACGAAAGATTAACCACCAAAAGCGATGGTAAGAAGTGACCCACGTCGATTGAGAATATCCAGTGCTCGAGCTGTTGCGCTGGAATAAGCATTTGTCGACGGTTGACTTTTGTCCATATAGCATTTGACGTAATATTTAGTTAATTATTCATACAATTTCTAAAAAAAATTTAACACACAAATAAATACAAAAATAATGTTTTAAAAATAAAAATAACAATGACAATAACAAGAGTAACGAATATTTTCTGTACTTAAAAATTTTTACTTGTAATCAAAAATACGTAAAATATTTCACGTAAAAAGCGTGAAACAAAGAACAAGACAGTGTGTGAACAAGAATGCATCAATTTTGATATAATTGAAAGAAGTAAAATAATTTTAATAGCAGCAAAAAATCGTTAATCAAATGTCAAGCATAACAAAGTTACTTTCGTTTGCATACATTTTGAATAGCTACAAATTGACAGATAATAAAAGAGCTGATTTTGCACCTTTTATAATCAATAACAAAAATTTGTCTATTATTAAATCAATATGATATTATTAAAAAATAAAATTACTAGAGGGATATATATTATTTAGGAAGTAATTTTTATAAGTAATACTTTTCGCTATGTTCAAAGCATAATTAATTAATTAATTTCGATTGGATTAGATGTGAGTAGTAAATAATACAGTAAGAATAGTATTTGTATTAAAAACAATAACGACAAAAGTAGTAAAAATAGTATCTGTTTCATGAAGTTAGCATAACGAATGCATTAGCAGACAAAGTCAGCAGCAGCTCATCAAGTCAAGAATCAAAGTGTCAAGCAAGCAGTTGCTTCAACAATTTATCTCAAAATAATTTAATTTTTACTCTTAAAAATTTGATCAATTAAGCAATAATCAATCATTATTACAAAATCAATGCACAATTTTGTTCATTATTATTATTAAGTAATAATTAATACTAGCAAATAAATGCTATGCTTATATCACTTTTAACATGTTTTTATCAGTTGCATATGGAAGTTAATCAGTAAAATCAAATCTGAAAATTTCAATCTTACTAAGATTCAAACTATGATTACAAATCAATTTCTCATAGCAATGTTTACTAATCTCATATTTATAAAATACTGCTATTTATATTGTTTTTTTCAATATTTAGTTCTTCATTCATCATAAAAAGTTCCAACTACAAGTTGATATTAATAATAACAATAATGATAATAATGAATTAAATCAAATTAATAACAATAACAATTATTATTATTATCATTATAATTAATACAACAATAACAGTAATAATAATATGTAAAAGATATTTTAGTACTAAGATAGTAGGCAAATACAGGTCATGATTAATAATTAATTTCATAGACTTCCTTGCCTATAAAAGATGGATGTTATTTTTGATAGCAAAATGAAATGCAAAAGTTAATTCGATAATTTTATGCTAATTCTCGATATCTATCTATCCATCATCTACTTATCCATCTACCTATCTTATCTATCTACCTATCTATTCATCTAACTCTCACATCATAAAGCCACACATTAAGGCAGAAGAATAAATATTCCTGTGAATTCAAAGTATTTAATTTTAGTCAATTATATATAATGGTTTGGTTTGGTAGATAACTTCTAATTATGACTAACTTCTAATTATTAGAACATTTAAATCTATCTATCTATCTATCTATCTATCTATCTACTAGTCTGTTAGCAGCAAAGATGTGTTTAGAAAAAGCGTAGTATAAAAGAACATAAATTTAAATATTTGCACATTATCAGTCGTGAAAGCAAGCTTATCAATGGCTAATGTAATGTAATACAAACGAGCTATTTCCGTCCGTGTATTAATGTCAATAATGAAAGTCTGAGCAGAGTGAGTTAGACAAAAATAATGCGAAGGGAAAAGTAATGGCAGATAGTGGAATTATTTATTGAATGAAATGAAAAATTTAGAAGTATTGTGATAATAATAGAATCGATCAATTGCAATTTGAGCGGAAGGAAGGCAGAAAGTAAGTATTACTTTACTTGCTAGATGTAATTAGTTTCCAGCAATTGGTTTCATTATTTTATACTTTCCTTCAAGTAAGCTGCTACTCACTGAGAATATTAGAGCAGAAATCGAGAAGAGAATTAATAAATAAGCACATAAATAAATTAACAAATATATATATATATATAGTATGAATAAATAATATGAATAAGTAAATATATAAATAAGTAAGTAAGTTACTAAGTAAATAAATGGAGTAAATAGTACGAATAAGTAAATGTTATCAAATAGAAAGAACTAGCCCTTTGCAAAATATTATCAATTAATTTTTTGAAACAATTACTACACATTTAATCATAATCGCTCATGATTTATCTCAACACTTCAGCAATAGCAGTAAAGGTTATAACAATGATAATGGTAATAATAATAACAATAACGATGATATTGCTAAGCAACGATGATACTGCTGTTAATTAATATTAATTATAATATTTGTAAGTGATGATGATATGTAAACTTTTTTCAATAATATATTAGAAAATTCAATTTTGAAAAATAAACAAAATTTGCGGTAATGAAGTGAAAAGGTAGCAAATGTAGACCAAATTCAAAGTGAGTGTGAAAAAGTCAGTAAGTTATTTAGTTAGTCAGTTAATTAGTTAGTTAGTTAG